CATATTCTGTTACACCAAATACACAAAATAATGATCTTTAAAAAAGCATCATATGACCCCTTTAAATAGAAACATGTGAGCAGAACAGAGTTTGTCTGAGGAGGTAACCACAGCAACAGTACGCTGCTCAAATATTTTCTGTTAGGATCATTATTGGGTGAAACATTGACAAAGTACAACAAATACTATCATGTACTACAAAAGACGTTAGTACCATAGCTGACCATTTGGACTGGGTTACATAACTTAACAAACTATGCCTTGAAAGAAATTCTTGCTTTGAAATAGTGTTAAAAGACAATTTGGGTGGGACAAAATGAAACCTAACAAACAACAAACAGCCCTACAACTCCTAACTGAAAGGCACTTACTGTATAATCTGAATTATTGAAATTATTATTGAAATATTAAACTTGTAACTGTCAATTAATAAAGTGTGAAGTTCAAATATGAAATAAAAGAAAATTACAAAGGTGTCACAATATAACAAGTGTTTGGAATGAATCAGTCTGATTGCAGAGTATTGGAGTAGTGGGATACTGACAATGCATGATTGCATTATGCAGATGTTTCCCCCCTAAAATGTTTTCCCCGTTGAAAAAACCAGCATATGCTGGTTAGGTATGTTTTGATGCTGGGATGCTGGTTTAAGCTGGTCCTTTGCTGGATTATGCTGGTCCAGCAAAGAACCAGCTTAAACCAGCAAAGGACCAGCTTAAACCAGCAAAGGACCAGCTTAAACCAGCAAAGGACCAGCTTAAACCAGCAAAGGACCAGCTTAAACCAGCAAAGGACCAGCTTAAACCAGCAAAGGACCAGCTTAAACCAGCAAAGGACCAGCTTAAACCAGCAAAGGACCAGCTTAAACCAGCAAAGGACCAGCTTAAACCAGCAAAGGACCAGCTTAAACCAGCAAAGGACCAGCTTAAACCAGCAAAGGACCAGCTTAAACCAGCATCCCAGCATCAAAACATACCTAACCAGCATATGCTGTTTTTTTCAACAGTGTTGTCCTCCATCATTATCCACTTAAACATACCCTAGCAATTTTATGTGTATTATAAAATATGCATTGTATCATACCCCTATATTTTGCATACATCCTATCTTTCTAACTCCCACATTTTTCCTGCCTTTGCCCTTTTTTTCTCTGTATGAAATAACCAGAGCTTAAGAACAAGACTCAATCTTTCCAGAATGAATTTATCTCAAATGAATAAAAGGTTCTGGATGGGTTCTAAATACAGATGAGTTTACAATAATATGGTAAGAACACTTTCATTTGCCCTCTTTACCCATTATGCACCTTGCATTATTGTGTACTGTATTATTATATACAGTATTATGTGTGTTTATATACAGTACGTATTGAATAGTGAATGTATATATTGCATTTCATGTAATGTTATGCCAAATTCATGTGAAGTGTTAACTATTTTTAGAGCAAATCACCAGGTCAAGAACCTTGTAAGTGAAAGTTGACCAACAAACGTGAATTGGTATTGTGTGTGCACGCATGTGTTACCTTCCATCCGGCAGAGCTGTTGCTGTTTCCTTTATCTTTGAAATAGGGCACATATCGGACCATCCAGTCGTAGATCTGAGACAGGGTGAGTCTTTTCTCGGGTGTGCTCTCGATGGCTCGGGTGATGAGCTCCGCGTAGGACTGGTTTCCCCACTCGTTCCGCCGGGAGGATGCCTTGGTTTTGCGCAGCGCAGCTCCCGTAAAGTCGCGAAATCCTCCGGCATCCAGCATCATCCTCCTCCTCCTGCACGCCGGTGATGGAACATGATCCGAATCTACTTTAAATATGGAGAAATTAAGCGACAGATCCGCGTTCACCTCACATGATCGATGGCTCGGGTGATGAGCTCCGCGTAGGACTGGTTTCCCCACTCGTTCCGTCGTTCCGCCGGGAGGATGCCTTGGTTTTGCGCAGCGCAGCTCCCGTAAAGTCGTGAAATCCTCCGGCATCCAGCATCATCCTCCTCCTCCTGCACGCCGGTGATGGAACATGATCCGAATCTACTTTAAATATGGAGAAATTAAGCGACAGATCCGCGTTCACCTCACATGAGAAGTCGTTCGTCCAGATGCATGAGCGAGGTCTGCTGACCAAATCCGACTCCATATCCACCTGATGAGCCTCCGCTTCATCCTCCTCTATCATCATCATCCGTCCTTAATAAGCCGATGCCAGGTAGACGTCGTCAGGTGATACTGTATTCTCAGAAACGCCTCAATGGGTCCACCTCACAAAGGAGGAGAGAGAAGGATGCTGTAGACGAGAGCGCGTCATGTTGAAGTGAGTCTGACTTGCAGAAATAATGGATGCATGTGGTTAGACAGCGGCTCGTATTCAATTTCCATCCCGGTTTTAACTCACTCTGACCGCAGCAGCAGCAGCAGAAGAATCCTCCTCCTCCTCGATGGCGGTTATTACAGGCAAAACTGGAGCAGCAACCAGAGACGGACAGTAACTAAGTACATTTACTTGAGTATTGTACTTACAACAGATGACAGATCTTCGCATTGAACTGAGTACAAAAACTTCACAATGCATCGTGAATGTCGTAACACTGATGCCTTTTTTGTAAAGTCCCCAAAATATTCTGTTTTACTAATTTATATTGTACACCGTAAAAAAAAAAAACCTGTGACGTTTACGGTAAAATACCGGCAGCTGTGGTTGCCAGAACTTCACCGTTAAAAATATGGTAGAAACATTTTAGGTTAAACCATTGAAATGCTGATTACCACCAAAAACAGGTGGTGATGAGAAAGTCACATGATGAATCAAAGCTCACCACAATAAGCTCTTGCAAAAGCTGAGAAGGAAAATACTAATATATACATAGAAGGTGCACAGTGTCATTCACACAAACACTAAACACCATCATGGTAACACACATGATACTGAAATAATGCAATAAACATGAATTTAACAACATTAGATGTAAGATAAAACACTAATGCACACAACTGATAAGAAAAAACTAAGAAGAAACAGTTATTTCAACGAAAAAACATAAAATATGAAGTGTCATGCAGGGAATTCTGGGAGTGTCAATTTACAGTTTTTCACTGTAAATTATACAATGACTCTTTCTTTTTCACTTCCAAAAACCATATTTTTAAGAGTATTTTACTGTAAAATTACATTAAATGTAATTACAGTTATTCACCGTATGTAGTATGGAAACTTACTGATAACCAATTAACAGGTTTGTATTGTAGCCTTTTTACAGTCTTTTACTGTTAAAATCACAATCATTTTTTACAGTTTAGGCTGTTCTTATAGTGTTAATCTGATTCTGTTTATTTTCAGTACAATGCAACCGATTCTGTTATATTATGTTGTATTGTTTCAGTTGTATATATTCTGTTGCATTCTGGCACTTTCCACAAATAAGCTACAAAGTAGGACCTGAAAAAACGATGTTTAGTCGAAAGTGGTGTGTGTGTGTGTGTGTGTGTGTGTGTGTGTGTGTGTGTGTGTGTTTTCTGTGGAGTGTATAACAGAT